AAGCACGGACAAGGTGCCCACGAATGCCATTTAGAAGACCTCGCAAGTCGCATTGGTCGGGGTTCTCTTGTTGGGCATAATTTCCTCTGATCACAGTGCATGCATAAAAGGAAATTTTGTGCTGCTCGAGCCGGCCAGAGGCCCATTTGGTACCAATCACAGCCCACCACAGGCCTTCTCCGTTGGTTCGGACCCTCTGAGAACGACAAAAGATTGATAACAGTGAAAGGGTGCATAATGAGCCGACGAGACAGTTCAAGGGCTCCGATTCCCACAGGAGGCCTCAGTAACAACTGGGAGCCCTCTACCCCGCTTCGACCAGTGGCTCGTTGAGTGGAACTGAGTCCCCTGTGCAAATTATTTGACCATCTGCGCCCGTATATAATCTTTTTGCATCAGTGAGAGCCACTGCGTCGATCCGGCTGCAGCCGCCCCGGTGAGAAGACAGCCTGCGTCGGGGAGAGGATCAGTATACAGTACATTCCCTGAGGGCCTCGGAATGGATCAAGGGGTCCCGATTCCCACTTCGCGAGATGGCGGCTGGTGAATACCTTGCGCTGGGATGGAAAGGTTCTTTAGCCACTGACCGGAAAAGGTAATACCCCTCACCCTGGTGTGCTACCATCCCCTAGTGCAGTGCAGTGTGCTACGCATCAGTATATCTACCATCCTAGCGTACTACCCACGTCCTCCGTCCGCACGTCCGAGGTTCTCTTAAGTTTGTAGAATCCATTGATGTCCTCTAGGAGCGCGAACGCTGGCGGAGCCGGATTATAAGATGAAGGAAATTAGGTGAATTCCGGCAAACCTCCGAGGATTTTCATTAGAAGCCTTTATTGTGTTGTGTCCTCTCTTTTCAACTTACCCGGACTTTCCGCTACACCAAATTATTCTCCAACGCTTCTCTTGTTCTCCTAGGCTCTTCCTAAAAACATTCCTTCTTCTTTATGGTTCCACACATCCCCAAACTTCGTTGTGCTCTCTAAAATTTCCCGAAAACTCCATATCTATTTCCAATGTGTAGTTTTCGATGTCACCTTCTTTCAGAAACAACGTAGATACAAATCGAAGAACAATGCACCACACGTCACGGCATTTATTAGTGACTCAATGGTTCACATAGAATGTCGCCTAGCCATGCCTGCAACAAAGGACACTTAAACGACCACACACAAGTTGCATCTCTAAGCTGACTGCACACAGTCCACCATAGTTTTCTGAACAGGAAACATGCCAACAAACTTGACCTGGCGGAGGAGATCGCTATGCCATGCTAAAGCTCCCAACATCGCACCTGAGACAATTAGGCGGTTACATAGCACATCTGATGCTCAGGGAGCCCTAACAGAGCGGCACGCTCGGCAGACAGAGCCATGGTAAACTTGAGCTCAATTTTAGTTGAACCTGGGAAATTCCTTCCACTGTCCATACCACAAATCATTTCACACCTCCAAATGATTTCTAAACGGATAGTTTAGTCCGTCCATGACATACGTTGGAAAAATTTTGATAACCCACATTTTTTCTCACTTTGCGAACTTTGACAATATTGGGGTAAAAAAATGTTGCAGTGTAAAAATGTACCGTTGTGACAAACACAAGATGCTCGAACATGGTCTGTCTTGTCCTCCTGCCAGGCCGTTCACACCACACGAAACTCCCTACCTTAGGTTACCATTAGACGGCACATGAGGTGTTGAGATATAGCGCCTTGGTACACCCGTTTGAGATAAGTGAGGTGGAAAAAAGACGTAATAAATACCTCAAACATACTCGTCCAAATCCATGACACGTGACCGGAGAAGAGCAATAATTGCATTAGATGAACTGACCCGACTTGACACGATCTTAGCCCGAACTGCCATGACCTTAGCCTGAACTGACATGAACTTAGCCTGAACTGACACGAGTCTTCAAAATTCAGTGCTGAAAAAGTATAAATAAAAAATTATAAAATTTAGTTTCTCATTTTGTGGTATGATCCTAACGGACAAGGATATGTTCGTTCGTTTCACCTAGTTACGCAGGTCTACGGTCAATATTGCTGGTATACTTGCTCTGATATTGGTTTGTAAACACTGGTTTCAGTTAATCTGAAGTCACTGAAGATTTCAATGATTTCTAAGGTAACCTGCGCTGCCTGTGACATTGTCAGGCATGTCATATATGCCACATCAATACCTGGGTGCAGTTGCACGGGGTAACCACCGTTTGAATTTTTTAATTGGACGATTTTATTCTTAGATATCATAGACACAGCGCACTGTTGGAGCCGGAACGTTAGGGCTACGTATTTCGGACATCAATTTCGAATGAACCACTTGGTATGACTGCACTTTTTCGCAGTGTGCGTTTCAGACTATGCGACATTTTTCTTAGTTAAAACGCAAATCAATGGAGCGTTCCTTTCACTCATCATGCTAGTAACGACGCTGAAAAATCGATTGCAGGTAAAGGCCACCGTGATGTGTTCTGACGTCAGATACATAACAAGGACGTTCTCCTGGCGCAAAAACTAGATACCGGAAGCGACGGGACAGGATGGGACAAACAAAACAGCAGAGCACACGGTAGTGCATGGCAGATGGCACGGTAGAACAGAACACTTGGGCGGGGGGGGGGGGGGGCAAAAATCCAAGGATTGAGTAGAAGGCAGAAAGCGCAGGACAGAGGACAAGACGGCCAGAATGAAAAACAGAAAACAGACACACAAGAAACCCGCCCGCCCTGGCTAGCGCACACTTATATGTCCTGTTCAAGACAAAATAGAACAGGACAGAACAGGTCAGGTCAGGTCAGGTCAGGTCAGGTCAGGTCAGGAGCAGGACAGGACAGGACAGACAGGACAGACCCGGCCATGACAGGCTCGGCCTTATGGGAGTTTTTTTCACCTTCGCCCAATGATGGGGTCTCGGGGCATCCCCGAAAGATGTTGAAAACTAGCAGGCTATGGCCACGGCAGACACGGCGTCGGAGGGCTCCAGTCAAGCCGCATTAGATGGGTGTGACTGAATATCGGTGAACGTATATTGGACAGAACAACCACGTCATATGCATCTAATTGCAACGCCTACCTGCGTCCTCTTATGTAAAGAACTAAAATTTCTAAGACAATGCAGAGGATGGCGTCATATGGGTTCGGAAAGCTTTACCAGAGGAGTAAGAATAGTGAATATCGCCAGGTGTCACCTGTGATGTCATTTTCGTCACTTGGCTTTTACAGCGCACTCAGATGCTGAGGCTATGTGACATCGCCTGCCTCCCATCCTGGCAGGAAGAGTGGGCACCGCGAGGAATCCAACCCCGTACCTCCCGTTTCCTACACGTGCAGCCTTTCACTATCGGCACCCGCGCGATATGGCATGCCAGGTCTAAGCAGGGAAAGCTGTTGTTGCATTGACCCACCCAGCGATATTAGGAAACTTTCATAGCTTTAACACTATTAAATGTCACATAGGAACACCTTCAAAAAGCAAAGTAAAAAGCAAAGTGACAATAGCCAGAAATATACTGATGGCTGAAACTAGAGAGGCAATATCTGAAGTACAGCATGCATTTTCAAAATATCAGCCAGAAACTGGGGATGCATATATACTAAACACTATATATATATATATATATATATATATATATATATATATATATATATGACTGAAGTGAAATATAGTTGAAATGTCAAACATGAAACACTAAATATTTTTCAACAACACAATCAACGTGACAAAATATTGCCAATTTGCCTGACGTGATCACCATAACCAGGTAACCATTTACTAAACTGCAAGATTTCATACATACAAAAACATGCTAGCCAGAACTGTGCTCAACTCAAACTGAATTGGAAATCTGCTCATGAGGGAATCATCTTGGGGTGAGTTATAGGCTGCATTTGCTTGCTACAGAAAATGCTAGTTTCAGTCATGACTAGAATCACATTTGTCAAACATTTCATGAGCTGAGTCATGAGCTAATCATTTCCCACAAAGTTGCATCAGCGAGTCATATGGCTGATGTCAAATTGGCAGCACATGGAAATATGGTGCACCCTATGCAAATCCACATCTTATTTCAGTGTCAAAATTAATACAGTGCACCATAAGTTATAAAACATTTTGTAGCATCAGCACAGAATTGTTATCATAATTTCTGAACAGAAAAGCCCATGTTGTCCATCCTGAAGTTTGCCAAATCTCAGCCAGAAACCAAAGGATAAATATATATATATATATATATATATATATATATATATATAATCACACATACATATGCATATAAATGAACCACAGCTTGATATTTGACTTTGCAATCTGCATGACCCATGCATCAAGTGCTCCAATGTAAATATGGCCTGAACTTAGTTAAATGGAAAGTGGAACAGCTGAGTCACGAGCTGAGTCAGATTCCACAATCTGTGAGCCGGTCCGGAGCTGGTTCAAGACATTAGAGTCAAACCCAGGTCTGATGCTAACCACATCTCGAGACTAGCGTCCCATTCCTTGCATTACCGGGACGACAATATCTTTTCCAATACCCTGTAGTCCAGGACACATCATTATCATACCCAGCCGGTACATAACTCTTCTGTAAAGTACGCGCGAGTCATTCCAGTCACGCTTCCCAATCACTTCCCCCCCCCCCCCCCACTGACAACCCACCAATCCACCTCACCCCGCACCAGGATCAGCTCGCATTCAAATGGGAATTGAGATCCCAAACGGTGAAGGTGTTCTACTCCCGCCGAAAGAAAAGAAATTCACGACGTCCACCTCTACACATCCTCATTTCCTCTGGCCAGCCTCGGGTTACCGGGCTACTCTATTTAGGATCTATACGTACTAAACGCCGCCACTTTTAGCACATATCGGTACTAAACACCGTTTTCCCTCTTAGCACCAATACGTACTAAATATTCTCGAGGATGTGTCGCCCAGCACGCGTGGGCGGGCTTCATCAGCTCGGCGGGTGGGAACCAGGCGCAGACATGTGTATGGGGGGGGGGGGGGGCATTTGCGTTTTTGTCATAACCGGGTTGATGAAACGTTCACTGATAGTCAATAATGGCTAACGAGTTAGTCATAAAGGTATAAACTATTTTTGAATAGTAACAGGAAACTATTTGTATTATCGGAAGCTGATTAAACTTGCACCATGGAAGGAAATGTTTACGAAGCCCTGTTCAAACTGTGCTTTGAAGGCTCAGTTTGGTTTGTCTGGATGTGGTCTGGATGAATCTCACTGTTGCAGTGATTTTATGGGAATAAGGTCCTTGCTGCCATTTGTGTAACTACTGGTGGGATGTAGTGGGGATCTTCAATTTTCACCTGCCATTTTGCCTGCATCAGGCTACTCATGGGTGCATGCTTGTCATGGTTTCTCTTTCAGAACATTGTTCCCAGGTCAACTTGTCCCTCTTTAATTTAGTTGCCACATAGGCTTTGTTTTTCCCAATTTCAGTGGCATTGTAAGTAATGAAGCTCTTGTGAAGCATATGAAACATATTGTGTTGATTTCTTAAAGCATGGCAATCTTGCTTATTATGTTTACTTTTCTCAATATCCACATGACTCTGCCACATACTCTGCATCAAAGGGTGGGCTTTTAAATGATCTGACATGTTAATGAGGCTCTGTGATGTCACTTGCATGTTTGACTGTGGTACTCACCAGTTATGATAAAAAGGAAGGGTTATCCTTCACAAAGCATTACATAATTTTGAAGTACTTGTGCCTAGGCAATCTGAAGTGATAGTCCATGTATACATCCTCAAATTTTCATCAATTCTAGAAACTGCTCTGTGCATTCAATGCTACTTCCAAGGAACCAGACTGGTACTAAGAATGAAGTGTGAAAAACAAGTGTAACTGACATCATGATGAGCTAGTATTTTTAAGGGGCTGAGATTCCTTTGTAATGAAAAGAAAGCTCAGTCTGGTATGTGGTCCCTGGTCTGATCTGGCAAAAAAGAAGATAATTTTTAAACTGCTGCCTCTGCTCAGTGCATGTACTGATTTTTCCCTGTGGCAGCTATGTGCTGCACTTGATGTAATGTTAATTTTGATCAGATCCATGCAGCTGCTGATCATTTCACCCTGTGTCGATCACTGATAGTCAATAACAACTAACAAGTTAGTCAAATGGGCATTAACTAGTTTTGAATAGTAACAGGAAACTATTTGTGTTATTAGAAGCTGATTAAACTTGCACCATGGAAGGAAATTTTTAAGAAGCCCTGTCTGAACTATGCTTTGAAAATTCAGTTTAGTTTGTTGAATGGTCTGAATCAATATCACTGTCAGTGGATTTTATGGGAACCTCTGGCCATCCAGACCTCCATCATGATGTCCACAAATGCCTACTACGGCGTTAAGAGTAGCAGCAGTGAAGAGGACGCCAACGACCCTCACGTCATACACACTGGAGATGCTCTGCCGTCCGACGGCACCGACCAAACAGCAGGCTTCGTGCCGCAGGCACCGCCCCCTGAGACGCCATCACCAAAACGGGGCGAACCCTCAGCCAGGACACCACCGGCCCTGCCACTGCCGACTGTAGAGCCCCGGGCCATGGTAGACCAGGCGCCAGCCCCAGTGCCAGCGCTAGTATCACAGTCATCCTCATTCCAGGTCAACGTGGAACCTTCTCCCGTGGGCGATGATGGAGGCACGTTCCACGTCGAAATGGAAACGGGCCTGATCGTCGACAGCGACCTGAGGCCCTTCTGGGCGAAGCACCTTCAAAGTACCAGCTTCGCCCACCGTCGTGGGCTGGGACAGCCCTGGTCGCCAGCAGAGTTGGCCACCATCGATCTCGCGCGGGACGCTCATCTGGACAAGCAAGCCAAACGAGGGCAGCCCAGCAGGACAGCCAGAGCCCTGGCCTTTTTGAAGACCGGTCACGCATGGGACCTGCAAAAGAGGACGGCGCAGATGTTCATCTCGCGAATGATATAGGCAGATGCCCGAGGGCAGTAGGTCAGCCGTGGCGGAGGTCTCCATCACGGTGTGGGAGTGGTTGACCGCCCTCCCTTGAGATCGCTCCCGTCCGACAAGCCGGCGAGCGGGAAAGGCTCCCGGCACGGTGTGCCACCGAGGGAGGGTGGTCAGCCACTCCCACGCCGTGGCGCAGACTGCTCCGTCCCTCTGCTACGGCGGGCCCGAAAATCCCCGGCTGTGCCCCCGATCCGGCGGCCACGTGGCCGGCTGGAGGCAGGGGGCAGCCAAGGGACCCTCCACTCACCAGCGTGGCGAGCGGAGGCTTCCGGGGAGGGCCACTGGGAAACGGCCTCACCCCGGGGAAACCACACGCCCACCTCTCCCCCTAAGCGGCAGGCCCCAGCCGTTCCCGGTGCAGTGAGTCAAACCAGAAGCAGACAAAACGGTGGCGCGCGCTCTGGCGCGTCACCTCGCAGAGTGCGAGGCACCGGGGCCTTCAGGCCGATGGCCGACGCGCCGTTCGGCAAGCCATTTTTTGTGGCGGCGCACCAGTCGGTCGCAGATGACCTAGACGCCGCAATGGCCCCAAAAATTCCGCTGAAGGCCGATCAGCGCAGCGGACTTAGAGACGCTCGACACCTTGGGAAAAGAAAGGGGAAGAGGTCTAACACTAACGCCAACAGAAATCAAAGACCAAACCATCCTGAGGGATTCCTTGTTTTGCCACTCTGACAGGCATGATCTCTTTACAGCGAAAGGGGCCTACGCTCGTACAAAAATCAGTCGATCTAGCCGCAGCCTGCTGGCCGGTTTTGAGAAGCGCCTCGGGCTGGCGGTGCCAGACTTCAGATATGTCTTGACCTCCCAGGCAAACAGGCGCCGGATCCGTACCACCCTATACGATGCATATCAGGAGTCCGCTGACCTCGACGTGGGTATGACTTGTGCCGTACGTGCTTTTCTAAAGTTCATACATCAGCGACTCGCTGAAGTAACAAACGGCGGAGCCTGGAAGGAGATGCTGGAACTGACGATCGCCGTGCTATCGTCCGTCCTGAAGGAGAATCAGGGCTTGATGCGACAGCGCCAGTCAGCTCGGAAAGTTAAACACATGCATGAGGAGAAGCTGTCCCACGACGAGAGAGTCCTCATCAGGCGCGAGCTAGAGCGGCACCTGGCCATTGTCCTTGAAGCCGGCAAAGACTGACTGCCGACCAACCCTGTCGCCCTGCGGCATGTGGATGTCAAGGTCCACCAAATGGTGTATGTCACAAGCCGCCGAGGCCGACATCTTGAGCGTTTGCTGAATACAAATAATATTTGTGTTGTTAACACCTGGCCGGCATACCCATATATCTCTGCCATCCAGCACTACTTCAGCGATAGATCTTTCTATCTGCTCCTCGTCCCTTTTCTGTCGGTTGTCTTGGTTCGTTGAGAGCACTACATATGGGAGCGACCATTTCCCAATATGGCTTGGGATGAATGCTGCACACCCAGGCAGGAGGCCTTCGTGCTGGAACCTTCGACGTGCTAACTGGCAAAAGTTTACAGATGAGTGCCATATTAGAGTGCAGCCGACCGAAGGACGACAATGCAACGTCTCTTGCACAACAAGTGACATCCACAATTGTCGACACTGCAAGGTCTTGCATTCCCTTGACATCACCTGAGCCGCGCAGGATCCCTGTTCCCTGGTGGTCAGAGGACTGCAAGGCGGCAATTCTCAAGCGGAAGTGGGCGTTCAGGGTTTTTAAGCGTTCTGCAACGACCGACAACCTCATCGCTTTTAAGAAGGCCGGAGCATTTGCGAAACGCACAATACGTGAGGCAAAGCGTACGTCATGGAGGGAATATGTAAATGGTTTAAATCGTCACACCCCACTGAGTGCAGTGTGGCAGCGAGTTAGTCGCATTTCTGGTGGGAGCGTCTCCACTGCAGTTCCGGTGTTGAGAGTGGCGGGAATCACGATATTGAACACACAGGAAGTTTCCAACAAAATAGGTCTCGCATTTGCAGAAAGGTGCCGACATGGAACAGACGACCCACGCTTTATTCGTTACAAGGAACGAAGTGAGAAGACGGCAATCAATTTTAGAATTTCTGACTCGGAGACTTATGAGTACAACCAACCGTTCACTGTCATGGAGCTCTGCACTGCTCTTAAGAGAGCTAAGAGTGTGTCGCCTGGATTGGACAAAGTCCACAATGATATGTTGAATCGCCTAAAGAAGGAGTCCCTCCATGCCTTACTCTCACTTTTCAACTACATATGGTTGCAAGATGACTTCCCGGAGTCGTGGTGGGATGCCATTATAGTCCCGATACGGAAGCCCGGAAAGGATGGTTCCGATCCACTGCACTACCGCCCAATTTCGCTGACTTCATCCCTATGCAAAGTGCTAGAGAGGATGGTGAATGATCGTCTCATGTGGTACCTTGAAACCCACGGCTGTCTTTCCAAAGCGCAATGCGGGTTTCGGAAGAACCGATGCATTGTTGACCACTTAGCGATCTTAGACACAGCTATACGACATTATTTTAAACAAAGACGTCACACGATAGCAGTCTTCTTTGACATTGAGCGGGCTTATGATACCACCTGGCGCTATGGCATTCTTAGCAAAGTACACAGGTGTGGACTCCGAGGTCACATGGCACTCTTCATTGAAAACTTTTTACGTCGTCGATTCTTCCGCGTCCGAGTGGGTGCCATGCTATCTGATCGCTATGAACAAGAGAACGGTGTTCCTCAAGGGAGCGTCCTTAGCGTAACCCTGTTTGCGCTGATGATCGATGATATCGCCGACTGTCTGCCACCTACCATCAGTCGGTCACTGTTTGTGAACGACTTTGCCATCTGGTGTGTGGCATCCACAATGACGTCTGCTGAGAGGCAGCTTCAGTTATGCCTGATTCGACTAACTGAGTGGAGCCTTGAGAATGGCTTCAAATTTTCGACCACCAAGACTAAGTGCATGCACTTCTGTTCACGGATTAGAGGCTGTAGAGACCTGGAGTTGCGACTGTATAATGCCACTGTCCCAGTTTGTAAAGACATTTGTTTCCTGGGCCTCACGTTTGACCGTCTGCTCACGTTTAAGCAACACTTTAAGATGGTTAAGACTAAGTGTCTCAAGCGCATGAACCTCATGAAAGTAATGTGTCGTATGACCTTTGGAGCCCACAAAAGCACGCTGTTGAACCTGTATAGGGCCTTAATTCGATCAGTCATCGATTATGCTAGTCCTGTGTACGATAGTGCTCCTACATCTTCAAAGCAGGTTTTGGACACAATCCACCATACATGTGTTCGTATAGCCACTGGGGCGTTTCGTACGACCCGAACAAGAAACTTGCTGGTGGAAGCGAATGAACCGCCCTTGCCTCTTAGGAGACAACGACTTACTTTGAATTACGCTATAAAGGTTTCACAATTTCCGGATCACCCAGCCTTTAAGTTCATCTTCTCTCAGACGTTGGTCCGTTCTTTCTTGAGGGGGCGGCCCACGTCATCGCGGCCGATGTGCCTGCGCGTCCGGGACTGGCTAGACGAGTCGCTTATTACGCTGGATGACATTGCCCCGCACACTCTGCGGGACCCAGCTCCGTGGAGACGTCTGAGTATTAAGTATGATTTGGAACTCTGTCAGCATCTTAAAAATGGCACTTCACCACGAGAGTTCCTCACGCATTAGTTGGAACAGATCTCACAATACGCGAACTCATTACAAATATTTACCGATGGGTCCAAGGGCTCAACAGGAACGGGTTGCGCATTTGTTTGCGGTGACCATACCGTAGGTCTATGCCTTCCGCAGCACCTGTCAGTTTTTTCCTCAGAACTGTTTGCTATTTTAGCAGCGCTTCAGTACGTTGCTTGTCGTCCTGAAAGGGATGTAGTCATTTTGACCGACTCACGTAGTGCACTTTTATCATTAGACCCGACGGCGTTGGTACGTGACCACTCATTTTTGACGCGCTCAATTTGGGAGGAACTGGAATGGCTGGACGACACTTCCCGCCGTATCACATTTATGTGGATCCCCAGCCACATAGGAATAATGGGAAATGAAAAAGCCGACGCCGCAGCGAAAGCTGCGGCGTGTGAGAGAAACCCAATACCAATTTATGTACCCGCTCGAGATCTGAAGACAGTCATTTCCAAATACGTCCGCAATACGTGGCAGCCATGTTCGACCAACATGTTCACGCTTTCAGGGAAATCAAGCCCCAACTGGGTGATTGGGAATCCTCCCATTGCCGAAGCCGCTTCCAGGAAGTCGCCCTTTGTAGGCTCCGGTTGGGTCATACATATGTAACACACTCGTTTTACTTGACGCGTAGGGATGTGCCACGGTGTGATAGATGCGGGGACCGGGTTGTCTGTTGAACATGTGCTCGTCTCATGCCGGCGCCTTGAGACGGAGAGGCGACGATTTTTTCCTCCTGCGCCCCTTCATCGGTTACTCGGTCGGGACCCATGTGGTGATCTTGGAGATATACTCGCATTTTTAGCACACATTGACTTTGACGTTATTTTCACTCACCCCTCAGTGTAAGTGCGCCAGTGATACTACCTGTTATTAGCTGACAACATACTTATCGCGTCGTCGCAGAGGTAGATAACCGTCTTCGAGTGGGCGCAAAATGGCCCTGATGCCGACGCGCCCTTAAAAACCAAATCACCACCACACCATCAGGGACAAGATCAGGTGTGTTCCGCTACGTCAGGGTGCCAGAGTTTTCTAACGCCCACAAAGTGGGAAACCACTACACCATAAGCCACGCGGGTGGGAAAACAAAGCACGTGTATCGCGCTGTCAGCAATGTCATCTCCACGCGGCTTTACCGTGCGATGTCCTTCTACATGATCCCCCTACCCCACCACCCGCTGCACGAGGGGGAGTCGGACGAAAGACTCCTGCCTAAACTCAGCATGTACGATGAGAAATTCCTGAAATTTGACATCCCCTCCATCGCCCACCTGGACTACCCGAAGCTTATGCGCGGCAACCGTGGCCGCCGGCACCGTGTGGACCTGACGCATTCGCTTGACGTCAAGGGTGCGCTGGAGGGAAGAAACTGCAATCAGGCAGCACGTTACCGCTGTTATAGTCTTAGCACGGCTATGCGCTACTACGACGTGATGGAGGACGGCAGAAGACCCCACGCAGTGCAGCCGGCAATCCTCAAGTCTGCCAACAGACACTACAGTGTATCAAGTTCGAGTGAGGACTCGGGTGACAAGGACGGACACCGATTCGAGAAGCCAGGCACGACCTGTGCGGTGGAGCGAATGGAGGGGGGGGGGGGGGGCGTCATCGGTTCATGAGGAGCATGAGCCGGAGCCCCCGGCCCCTGCCGAGCCAGCGCACCTGCCGGACCCAGTTAGCGACAAAGCCCCAGCGCGCGCCCAAGGCCCGGAGACAACAGAGATTCCGGGTTGCAGTTATCATGGGCAGCTCGCGGACGAGACCGGATTTGAAAACATAGAGACGGAGTCGGGCCTCATCCGATGAGAGTCTGCGCCCTTGCAGCGGTGAAGCGGCTCCTTGACCCCGCCAAGGGGCACCACCGCATCGGGCGGCCATGGACGCCAGGAGAACTCGCGACATTGGATCTGGCGAAAGCCAAGGGGATCGGGAAGTCTGGAGCCAAGAGTAAGACTGCAAGAGCACGAGACTTTCTGGCCGCGCGTCCGGGCTGGAGTATCGATACCCGGTCGGCGCAGCAGTTCCTAGGAAGAATTGCCCTTAGGCCAACCTTCATCCTGCCAGGTCGGCGGGTGAAGAAGGCCCCCCGGGCGCACCATCCGGTAACGCCGGGGGCGGCTGGCGGCTGCCGTTCAGGGAGAGGCGGCGGTTGTGTGGACCCCCGGGCGGAGAAGGCCGGCCACAGGGCCTCCCCCCCCCCGGATGCCTCTGCCCGCCACTCCAGCGGGCGGAGTGGTGGGCACCCCCGGCTGCCCTCTGCCCCCGGCCGGCTACGTGCCGGTCGGTTCGGGGGCATGACCAGGGGCTTATACAAATTTGATTGTAAATAGTTAGGACCCTCCCGATGGGCACCATCTTAACGGGGTTGGAGGATTGCGTGCTACCCAGTGACCTAAGGGCGCCTTGGTAGCCTGGATAAGAGTGCCCAAATTTGTATGCTTTTGTGGTGTTCTGTTTGGTTTTGCAAATGTTCATTTGTTCTTTGTGTTGAGTCATCATTGATGTTGTTCATGTATATACATATGTATGCATATCATGTTTGTATGTACGTGTGCATGTACACATATATGGATTATGCAGGTATGTATGCATGTGTTATGTGGTGAATAAAAAGTGCGTGTCTGTGCGCGTGTATTTCTTCGATTTTCGGTCTAAAACCACTATCGTTTAGACAAAGCAACCGCAAATCAAACAACAGTCCACTGGACCATTGTAAAGTGACGAGCGCCGGTGATGTATTTCGTCCAGTCATTTAACGCGTGATTTTGTCGGTTTATTTATCATAAATGTAAAAGCAGAGTTGATCTCGCGGTAGCGTCTGGCGTACGTCCTAGTTCTAGAGGGCAAATACAAGTAATTTATATGTATATAAATGTATATATATATATATATATATATATATATATATATATATATATATACGTAAAGTATATGTATATGTAGATACGTCATATCCGGCAATTTTGGGCGGATGGGGGCCATTTCACTGTCAGGGGATCCTTTGTCAACCCTGTGCCCCCCTTGTCAAGGCTCTGGCTGCGCCCCTGGCGTACCTGAAAGCACAGTGCCACCGCACAGCGTTTTAGGGCCTCTCATGAGTCTTTACTTTCAGCAGGCAGATAACACACCAGTTGGTTCTTGATGCCATGAGGAATGATTGGGCTTATGTTTAGAGAGCCCTAAAGTGACATCAGCTTTAAACTTTCAGGAGTGCTTGAGGCTCTGGGGTGACTTGGGCTGTGTCATTTCCCGTGATCTTGGAAGCTGGCTATCTTATTATGTCACCGTTTTATCGCCCATGACCGCGTGTCCTCGCATGAACATCGGGACTGTCAAGCGTCTGATATTAGTTTTGAACAGCGTTATGAGCGTACCTGGACAACAACGCCTAAGAGTCGGGGCAGGAACAGTTGGGGTGCATTTACGGGTTCAGGGTACGCAGGCTAACATTCTCGAGCCTGCACAGGCAACGATAGGTGGCAGCAGAATCGCTTTAATCGGTACAGGTGGCAGAGTGGGCACTGAGCGAATGTGATAGCTTTGCTAAGCGCGACTGAATATCTAAAATTGCAGAAAGATGCCTTCGACTAAGCAGGCAGCAGCTAAAAATCGACAAGTGTCAAGAGGAGACCGAGCACGGGTTCAACCACAAATGCTGATGTCTTCAATTTGTTTCCGGGTTCCAAGTTCACCTTTCCCACCGTGCGTGCGTCATAGGTTCATACCAAAACCAGTGTTCTTAAGATTTTAAGCACGAGTCCAAGCTCATGAGCTCTTACGGGATCACAGTGTTGAATGCCAGCACATTAAGGCTGTCCGGGCTGAAGGTCTCTGAGGATATTGCTTTCGAGAAATACAGCGTTATTATGACCAACACAGAAATCTAAATTGATCCATACAAATCAATTCTGAATGTTGTATCTTGCAGCCAGAGTTTATTTGCAACGCCAGTTGATGGTGAGGCGGTTAAGATTTGTCTACACGCAGCTGCTGGCAGCTGTTGCTTTCATGGCCATCCTCATGCAGACTTGTGTATTGGTATACGGCGCTGAAGGGATGGATGAGGCGTTGCGAGCATGCCCTCTGTCAATTTGCTTGGCTCTGCAGAGGACAGGATATGCATTATGTATAGCGCAGCTGGCCTAACGCGCCTGGCCTGTACGAAACGGTATCTTCAGAGTAGTTGCCATGGTAGTTACAACGCCTTATGGCACTGTTGTCTGTCCATATTTGGTTTCGGGGTATTTCACATTGCCAAAACACAAATATAGTTCCATGTTCCCTGCAACTATTGGGGCCCAGATCCCACCAAACATACTGGTGGTTACGTCCATGACAGTGTCTACCAACAAAAGCCTGCACAAACCCTTGGATAAGCCATAGAAATATCAGGCGTTCGCACCCGGGTATCGGCAGCTGGTACAGAATCATTACCGGCAAATGGTGGTAATGCACTTACGCTTGACCTGATAATGTCGGAGCGCAGCCCACACCAGTGCGTGTGTACCGACAAGAGTGGTGCATACGCAGGGTCGCCGCTTGCCTTTTCCGCATTCTTGCATTTGTAACGGCTTACCTCTGGCCTTTTTGGACCGCCATCTATCGGGATGAGATCCGGCATTTTCAGATCATTGGTTTCGCACGGTCGTAAAGAGGAGACTGTTTCCCGTTCCGGCACGTGCCACACAGCCCACACATATTCGTCACCCACGGCGAACGCCGTGAGTGACGTGGTGTGGCAGTCAGCAGCAGTGTGGGCGCAACCAAACCAGCCCGCGCCTCACATACCTCCCATGCGTTCTGTGCATGACCTCACCCCGTGCGGTCGGCGCCGCCCCTGACACGTGTGTGACGTCACCAACCGGCCAGGGGAGGGGGCTGACATCAGCAGTCGTCGCGTGGGTCAGCAGCCAGCGCCGGCGGCGCCGCGCGCTGTGACGTCAGGGGGCGGCGGCGGCGGCGGCGGCGGCGGCGGCAGCACCGGCGCAGTGCGGCGCCGGTAGACGGCAGGTGTGGACGTCCGCGCACCGGCCCGACCCGACACACGGACGCGAGGTGGGTTACAGAGCCGTGCGCTGGCCGCCGCACCGGCTCCACGTGGCTACATCCCGCTCGTATAGATCAGTGTGACTTTCATCGATGTTGGGGTCTGATGATCGCAAACTGCTGTGTATTTTACTGCGTGCAAATTGCAACGGTCAGCCATAATTTGCAAGTCAAACCGGAAGTGGCTCTTTGGTAGATTGGTTTCTCGCCGTTGTGGCAAACTAATCGCGTAACCCGCTAATCGTGGCCGAGTTTCGGAGCGTCATCGCCCAATGATTGCTTCCCCAATGATTTCCCATTCGTAGTCGATAGTCGTGCTCCAGTCGCTGTCCGAAGCGAAGTGGTGCCCGAAGCTGTGCGGGTGGTGGGAAAGCGGAATATGTCTCAGTAAAAAGCTCCAATCCTCCAGCGTTACGCATAGCACAGGGAGCGTTTGTCATCCTAGGGCATGTGACTTGAATTCCGCTCATTTGGCAAGACACATTGGTCCCGGCACATGCCACCAAATTGCTGGCACACATACACGGCCGTGCAGGAGCAGGCACTCATCACCAGCTGCCATTGTGCCGCCTCGCCTAGGTACGTCGCCACATAGCAGGCATACATGCACGGCTGTGCAGGAGCAGGCACACACAGGAGCAGGCACCAGCTGCCATTGTGCCGCCTCGCCCAGGGACATCGCCACATAGCAGGTCCATTTGAAAACTATTTAATACGCACAAATGAATAACCTAAATTCATCGGCCGCCACACCTGCTCAGAAGTTAACATGAGACCAGATCGATGTGTGCAATCCAAGTGCACATTTTGCAGCCGACGGCGATCAGCTATGCGGGCACCTCATGCTGCTGTCTTGTAGTTTGGTCCATAAACTACCACGCTGTCGCATGTCACGGCGCCGTGGATGCCAGGTGTTACTACCTTGGTCCACAGTCGCGCATGAACCATTTATGTGGCACCTGTGACCGGATCAATGCCGCAAATAGATCATCCCATCTGGGCATACGCCCAGTCCATGCTGTAGGCCCAGTACCCATGAAGTACGTGTAGCTGCGTCGTACGACGACTGACTTTTGCCTCGCCTGGCTTCTCATTATTCCAACATTACACGTTATCCGGGCTGGATATTTGTGGTGGGAGCGGGACAGGACATCGGGTCCCTCCGCGGGGGGGGGGGGGAGCGGGGCAGCACCTCGGGTCCCTCCGGGAGGGGGGGGGGGGAGCGGGGCAGCACATCGTCTGCCCTGGTCGGGTCGTGCACCACCGTGAAGTCTCATGGGAAGACCACACGAGGGTGATCCGCCCCGCGCTGCCCGAGCACCGCTCAGAAGGTGCCAGGAATTTCTTTGTCGTGGTGTTGGTGGCCCTGTCCGCTGCCGTCTATCGGAGCTGGCTACGCTTTGCTATCCGGGACGCACGCGCGCGCCCACGCCGAAAGTGCGTGCGCCGTTTGTTCTGAGATAGACCGCGCCAATTCGGATAAGGGCGGCCATCTGTGGGCGCGGCCATCCCCGGACCAGCCTGTCGGCACCTGAGCGCACGTGCGTCGTCCTGCCGATCCGCCCCGGTCGTTGAGCTTGGGAACCCGACCCCTCTGGTCTGCGTAAAATCGGGCTCAGTTTGCGTCAGGTCACGAAGTCCACTAAAACCGAAATCAGGTAGTGTCAAAATCATACATCATTAGATTGTTAAGATATAAGATAAGTGCTGTATATCACTGGAACACTCAAAAGCGAATGACGCGTCACGACGGAAAACCTATCGCTGAGCACAACAAAACAGCCGATACGCCTTAACACGCGTCCAGTTGGCCGGTTAAATACCATCCGCTCAGGGGAGGGGGGGGGGGGTTGACCCAGTTAGACCTCGGAAGATAAGATAGCTAGAAAAGCTAAATTTGAAGGGTGGGCTAGCTTTGGTATGAACTAACTCATGCCACAATTCCAGGTTCTTAGCTCATAAGGTGACCAAAAACCTATGAAATTGCTGATATTCTTTCCATTCAAATCGACGCCAGGAATTTCGCTATGCGCTATGCCTCTAAACAAAATGCTGACCCGGGTCATATTAGTTCAGTGACCTTATCTGACCTTTAAAAGGCTATGGAGTATGTCTGTTGCGGTCGCTGTCAATCATAAATTCGAAAGGAGCAACAAGAGTTGTCCTTTAATGCAGCCCCTCGAGTAAAACAAGCCCCTCGAGTAAAAGGTTAGTTTTGACCTCGTGTGACCTTCATACCCCACTGTCGGCCAATGACGTTTGTTCATTTTAGATTCAGTTGGTGTATTGCGCAAGAAGCTATCCCAGATATGTTTGGCATCGTCTAGCATTCCGTTACCGCATCAGACTCAACGGTTCCTTAGAAATGGCCCTCGCTTAAAGCGAGGGCCATTTCTAAGGAACCAAGTCATAACAATCAAGCAGATGAAAGCCTGGCTTTCATCTGCCATAATCCAGCGACTCTATAAGTTATATCTAATTTTTCACACCAAGCGATTTGCTTTCAGTTGCCAACAGGTGAGCACAGTTTACATTTCAATCATTCTACAAGAACCTTCGGAGGTTAAAATTGTTTCCCATCCCACCCAGCGCGTATTAAATTCGGCTTCGATGTCAATGATCATGACAGCAAGGCTTCATGCAAGGGGTTCTGATCACCCACGTGTGTATAAACCCGATGGCCATCGCAGAGGTCATGACTCGCTGCAAGAAAGGTCTTGCGAAAAGACATGTCATCAAAGCTCATCTATGCATTCCGTGATGTGTGAATATTTACGGGCGTAAATGTCTAGAGTGAAGCGCTTAGCCCCAAACGCAGTGCGACATGATGGCCGACGGAAATGCAATCGAATATGTGGGATGTATGTTGAACACCCTACTCGCTCCGTAACACCTGGCTAACGTTAGGTCAGTACCCTTTGGAGTGGCCATCATGGCGCCAGAACACTGACTGCTGGCGACCGTCGTTGCTGTTGGTCAGTCTCACCCACCTGTATGCAAGTCACTCCGTGACGGGCAAGTCAAAGTGTGCCTAAGCCTTCTCAATGCAGTTTAGCAGTTGAGACCAAAGCAAAGTCATGCCTGATTTTCGATGGAGTTGAAATTCGCTTCGAAATGAGCCGTCTGCAAGAAGAACAAACATCAAAAGCCTTCCTTGGAAACTTTCTTTGAATAGGAGTCAAACTTGAGCTACAGGATGTGGCTGAAATCAAAACGCGTCGAAACATTACCGAGCAAGTAGTTCTTAAATGCGTTTTGTGAATCCTTGGATACTGTAAATGGGCCATATGGAAAAAAAATATAATGTTCAATATTGGCGCTTATGCATTGCATTCCCAATGTTTGACATATTATTGGAATCGGGGGGGGGGGGGGGGAGGGCGTTTTAAGCGGGGTTAGTTGCCGACATCCGGAACACACCAACCAGTTATGCCACTCCAGCTCAACAGCTTATTTTGGCTCTGGACGTTTCGTTAGACGAGATCGCTAGGGACCCTTTGCTTTTCATGCAGTGTTATGTCACAATAGGCATGTGGCATGGATACGTCCCTCGTTACATCAAAGCATTCATCGCTGAAACTGACTCCACTATTATCGAATCCCAAACTTCCTAGCGATCAGTTCCTGTTCTGGGTCAGGGTGTTGAATCAGAGCTGTCTTCCTCAGTCCGCATCCGCGTCGACTCGAACTGCCCCGAGTTTCTCTCCGTTTAGCTGGTATCAACATACGCGGCATGTGGAGGGGGATGGATTTGCGCGGAGTCGAGCGCTGGTGTGATGTCAAGCCAGTAGGATGGTAAAATGGACAGGTGATCAAATGTCGTGCAGTTCACGCGTGGTCTGACACAAGACAGGCACTGCGCAGGTCTGGTGCCAAGCTACCAGGGTGACGACGGCTCCCGGTGATCGCGCCTCGCGTGCGGCTCATGCCGGGTCCAAACAATACCAGCAGCGGTCCTGAGCAGTCGCGCCATTCCCGTTCATCCCGGCCTGACTCGTCCGCGTTGTTTTAAATCGGGGTCTCATGTCTGGGGCTTAACTCGGATGTACATGGCGTTAACATGCTGATAACAATCCCCGCGGTCTGGCGACTCTGAATAAGCGCTCGGCCGTGTCCAGGAATCCGCTGAGCATCGCATGGGGACGGAGCGGTCTGTCCGCGGTGTTAGCCGAGCCTGTCCGGGCCGCCGGTCAGCCCCATAGCCGAGCCTGTCCGGGCCGCCGGTCAGCCCCGGAGCCGAGCCTGTCCGGGCCGCCGGTCAGCCCCATAGCCGAGCCTGTCCGGGCCGCCGGTCAGCCCCGGAGCCGAGCCTGTCCGGGCCACCGGTCAGCCCCGAAGCCGAGCCTGTCCGGGCCGCCGGTCAGCCCCGGAGCCAAGCTTGTCCGGGCCACCGGTCAGTCCCGGAACTTGAGCCTGTCCGGGCCGCTGGTCAGTCCCGGAGCCCAGCTGAACCGAGCTGAGCCGGACCGCGCCATCCCGGCGCTCGAAGTCACCGGGCCGCTGCCTCCGCTGCCATCAGAGTCAGCGCTCCGACAGGCGCTCTCCCGCGTTACCGGCGCCATCACCAGCCACCATTGACGGCTGCCGCTCGGTATTCGCCGCGTCCGCTCCAGCGCTGTTCGACTGGTCATCCGGACGGCGGTGCGGACACGCCGCCGCCCGCCGCGTCCGCCGTCGGTCCGTCGGCGGCGACGGTGGCTCTTCTCGGCCCGACGGCGACCGTACGTCGTCACCAAACGACCGCCTCGGCCGGGCGGCCGCTAATACGGCCATCGGCGGCCGGCCGGTCGCCGTTTATGGTCCTGGCGCGGCCCGGCGGCCCGGCGGCGGCCGCTCGGAGTCTGCCTCGCTGCCTCTCGGATGGGCCGACGCGGCGCGCGCAGGGCGCCGGGTGGATCCGGCCCGTTGCGAGCGCCGCGCCAGAGCAGGTGGCGACCATCGACGCGTGCGCTGATTGGGGCTGAAACCACGCTCCATATGCACGCGGTGAGGAACCATGACGACCGGTT